AGATGTAAAATATGTGGTTTTGAATATTTGCCTTAAAAATTACGACAATTTCATTGTCTTCAAATATTTAACCCCAAAAAACAGTATCCAAATCACCCTTTGGGGTTTTAAACTTTAAACAGTTATATTTTCATGGTATTTCAATGTTCGACCTGCATTATCACCTTGCGGTATGGACAAATGATTTCAAAAACATGTTACTATTAACGGTGACCTGTAGTATACAATCAAATTTTTAATTACTGTACCAGACATTCTTTTAACTTATTTATTCCTCGAAGACAAATCTTCTCATTCTCTCATTTTCTTAAGTTTAAAGTTCGTCCAGCTATTCTCTGTGTATTAAATACGTGCCTTCAAACCTTCAAATGTATATTCAATTTAAAACCTCCACGGCTGGTGAAGTACTTGTTTTAACCGATTATCATGGAAAAACCTTACCGATCATTATGTAAAATAAACTAGTCAGTTTGTGTTGAGTATACGAAATTTTAACTAAGAAAAAGAACAGATGATGTAAATTCTACATATTTCTATGACTGTAGGTAACAAACGAAGTCATGTTGTGTGTGTGTCTGAAGTACACATGTATCAATAAATTAACGAAAAAGAATGAAAGATTTTTAAACCTGTTATCTCTATGAAGCTTCGATTAGTTTGATATCTAATATCCTTCATATTACTCCCTGCATAGTAAGTATTCCTGCTGCATCGTACTTTTATCGTTGATTTATATGTGTTGGATACTAAACAATTATTGGTTCTTTGTTTCACATGTTTGAAATGTATTATACTGTAACAGAATAAAATTAGTATGACAAGTTATATTAATGCATAGTTATTGTCTATATGTTTAAGACATCGTATGCCACCATGTATCTCCAAGTGTACAGATAGAAGGGATGTGCATACGCCTGATAAAAGAAAGAAACAACTTTAATGGAATATTTTGTTGTTTTTTTTTTTATTATGAAGACAACCAACTGACAGGGGTCCTGTATACAGTCTTAAGGAATATAATCTGATTTTAAATTATATTAAAAAATGGAAGAATTATAATCCCAAAATTCAACAGAAACTGCATATAAAATATATATCTCCAACTTAATTAAACATTCCACAGCTTGCGAGACCTATCATGTATTCATTGATACAAGAATGGTTCATACATAGGAGATTTTGAAGCAAAGGTAAAGCAACGACCGTAATGACAATTGGTACCAGATATTTGTTCTGCATGTCGTATTAATAGTCTTGTCTGTCTTTCCTCGTATGTTGCTTCACATAAGATGCAATTAATACATATAGTTGGACTGTTTGTCATCTTGTAAAACAGGATTTACTTTTCCTTCCGGAACACCTGCGTGTTGCAAAATATTTGGTATGTGGTTTTCTGATAATGCCTTTCAGGGTCCAATTGCATAAATATTTTCTAATCAAATCATATAAAATATGGACCAACCTATCTAATCCACAACTCTGGTTTTTTTATAAAATAGTATGCGTATTTAAATCTCAGACGTCAATTCCATCACGTATAGAACTGAGAATTAGCCCCTACTGGTTTATAACATTAAATGAAATTGTGAAAAATCCTCTCAGTGTTGTTGTCTTTGTTCACTGCTGTTTTATGTCTATATTTCAGCAATGTATGTATGTATTTTTTGACTAGCGTGAGGGTAAGGAGATTCTGCTCCACATGTGGCATCCATCATGTTGCTCATGTTAGTACAAACCCTGTGATAAGTCTAAGTAGGTAGGCCACATTCGGGGAAAAGGGGACGGGATTGAAGTTACGACAATTGGAACATATCCGACGCATGATATTTTGAAAGTGTTGTTTTCACTTTTTGTAGCACTGGGTCGATACCTTTGCTAGGGACTATCATCAGCTCAGTAGTCAGTCCTTCGTTAATGACATGATTTATATAAAAAAAACGTTCTGAAATTGTTAAATTATAAAGAAACTAAGATTTCAACTCCCTCGGGCAAAGTTGACCTCATATGAATTTGACTATTATCTCTAGGTCATAAAGCTCTTCAGCCGTTTAGATACATAAATATACTTGGCTTTTAAACATCATGTACATGTAGACCAATACAGCTTGCAATACTTTAATTTATCAAATTTAACGGGAAACACCGCAGGTGCCATACGTGGAGCATTAATTATACATCCCTCCCGGAGCACCTCTTTATAAGTTCTTCCTAGGTTTTCAGTGGGGTTAGAATTGTTCAATCTTTAGTTTTTGGTGTAGTATTTTGTTATTTGTCTTTCAAATGTTTTACCCTTCTGCCATGGTTATGTGTTTTTATTGGTCTGATGATTGTTTAATGAGTATTTTTTCTCTCTTTGTTAGCGTGTATTTTTTCTGTTGTCTTTTTAGACCTTGTTATATATAAAGGCAACCGTAGTATACTGCTGTTAAAAAGTCATAAATCGATGGAGAGAAAACAAATCCGGACAGCAAACAAAAACCGAGGGAAACACATCAACTATAAGAGGAAATCAACGGAACAACAGAAACACTGAAGTGCAACAAATACAAACGCCAAAATACATAAAAAAACAAACTATTTGATAACAACTGCCATATTCCTGACTTGGTACAGGACAGTTTAAGAAAAATGGTGGGTTGAACCTGGTTTTATGGCTAGCCAAATCTCCCGCTTATTTGGCAATGTTAAAAAATAACAGGCATAATTTTGGACTCTTCTTCGCGTGCCTCTTTCTTTCTTTATTCTTAAATATGTGACAGAAGGGAATCTTTTCATATTTAATTGTCTTTTCCTTGATGATAATGCTTTAAGAGATTTATAACGTACCTTTCTTATTTAGTTGATTGATTGGTGTTTCACGCAACTTTCAACACTATTGTGCTATTTCATGGCGGTCAGTTTTTATTGGTGGAGGAAGCCGGAGTGCAAGGAGAGAACCACCGACCTTCGGTAGGAAAACTAACAATTCTTGTCAATTAAGATTGGAGTCGATTGCACTTGCCACGTGCGGGATTCTAACTCACAACCTCAGTGTTGACTGGCTAGTGATACAGTAGGTCGACTACTAAGACCACTCGGAGGCCCCTTATTTCGTTGAAACCTCAAGGTACCCACTGGGATAAAGAGTATAGACATATGGTCATTTTGCGGCCTCCAATATTCCAGAGGTTAAACTCTGCTAAAGGTCATCTTGCTTTGGGGAAGTATAAATACGCATAACCGCCGTGTCCAACTTGGAGCGTTAAATTCAATGCATCATGTTGAAAGAGTTCCATGCTCTCTGCACGTGGAATAACCATTTCAACAACTACATGACAGGCATAAAGGTGGCCTGCTTAATCCACATATCCTCATTCTCCAGTGGCAGTTCAAAAGGGAATGTTCATGATAGGTCAAAATTGCCTCAACAATTCTGAGAAATTTAATTTTAGTAACATAAGTTAACATTTGATGAAAAATATGTAAGAGTATCTTACGAAAACAGCAGGCTTTGACGTATTAGCCCACTTAAGATTTCACGATAACGTTATAATTATATATGCACTCTTATGAAGAAATTATAATATGACTAATTGTTTGATGAAAGTTCAATAGTTATAAAAATAAGAAGAGGTGGTATGATTTCCAATGAGACAACTCTCCTCAAGAGACCAAATAATACAGAAATTAACAACTATAGGTCAATGTACGGCCTTCAACAATGAGCAAACCCCATACCGCATAGTCAGCTATAAAAGGCCCCGAAATGACAAATGTAAAAAAATTTAAATGAGAAAACTAACGGCTTGATTTATGTACAAAATAATAAACAAAAACCAATATGATATACAGCAACAAACGACAACCACTGAATTACAGGCTCCTGACTTGGGACAGGCACATACAGAATGTGGCGGGGTTAAACATGTTAGCGGGCGCCCAACCCTACCCCTAACCTAGGACAGTGGTGTAACAGTACAACATATGAACAAATTATAAAAATCAGTTGAAAATGGCTTAACACATCAGATAGATACAATGCACAAACAAGTAACAAAAACACAGAGTGGACGTGGTAGGGTGCTTATACATCCCCACAACAAAAAGACACTAAGTACAGATCTGAGAGTACTCGTAGTTACTGGCAGCTAGTTCAAAGCCAATAATAACTAGTAAATATTATCATGCATCGAAGAATAAAAAATCAATCAGTACATATCCAACATACTTCAAACGACATTGGTCACATGCATGGATCCCATTTTTTTTTAATAGTTTCTACATCTGACCCATATTCATTTTTTATAACAAATGTATGTTTTGTCGAAGGTTGTGGACAGTGTTTTTAGAAGGAAAGAGACCTTACATATGCATGAAACATTTATTTGGCTAGAACACTGTGATATATCATATCATTGAATTCGTCAAAATCGTTAAAACAAACGACAGACAAAAATTTAAACGGTTACATACTATCTAAATTTCCATACAGGTTTTAAAAAGTAAAATAAAAAAATATCAGACTCCAAGGTAATTCAAAACAGAAAGTCCCTTAACAAATGGCAAAGTCAAACGCTCAGACACATCAAACTAATGGAAAACAAATGTCCTGACTTGGAACAGGCATTTCCTTATGTAGAAAATGGTGGATTAAACCTGGTTTTAAAATATTATAATCGGAAGTTCGATGTGTTAGGCCAAATTCATTCCATCGTAGCCATTCTCATTTTCCGTCTTTCATGTTGACCCATACCTTGCAGATTATACCTATGGTATAATAAGTTAACATTTTCTCACCTTAACATTGCATCAAACATTTGCGATTGAGACGTTCATTAAATGACAATTAAACAATCAATTTATTTGTTTAGACACAATCGTCTCCGTAATAACATACCGTATGAACTTTATATTTCCATAACGTAATAACTTGTACAAGGGCTTTTGATGTCATGAATAAATCAACCTGTTTACCAAATGTATCCCAAATATAGATTTATAAAAGGAAGTATTGTTTAATTCTAAGTTCAGGTATTTCAAGTTCATTTTAACTAGGAAGTCGAATGGATCACGCGAGAAGTGACACTCAACATAGTACTTCCTGCTTTAAATGATTTTAATGCTGGATTTATTTCATTGAAACTGCAGTTACTGTGATAAAATGCAAGTACGTATTGAATATAATGCAAAAATAAATTCTGCAATTTTGCGACTTTAGTTTCCACGCCCCGTTGACGGCTTCTGTTATTTTGCTTGCTTCTATTTAGTGAAATGTATATCATACAGTTTGTTTCTAATCTATAAGACTGCAATGATTAACTAGGTTGTAGGATAGAAAAACAAAAATAGACTCAAAAGTTAATTAAAATATGGGAAATCCATAAAAACTGACAAAATCAGACGTAATCAAAACATTTGATTATGAAACATGTCAGCGTTCCAATTTAAATCAACTTAGCTTAAATAGAATAAAATACAAAATTGTATTTATTCATGCTGATATGAAAATGAATGTGTATGAAAATACAGAGAGAATACATTAAAACTAATGATTCATTGCCTAAATACTCAGCGAACAGTTCTCTTAATTGATATATATATATATATTAGGTTTAGGATATTTGGACCGTGTTCAGTATCTTATAAATGTTACTACATGAATATGACACCGGCGTATATTTGTGTGGCGTCCATTAACACCTTGATATTAGCTCTAATTATATGTAATAACTGTACTTAACCAAATTATTTTTGTAGCTTTTGTACATCAAAGTTTGTCAACTTGTTATTCAGCTATTGCTGTCATATTTGTTTTTCGTTATTATTTTTAACACAAATCAGACTTTTTATTTTCTCGTTTGACTTGTTTAATATTATTTCATGTTTTGACATTAAATAGCTTACTGTACAGTATGGGTTTTTCCTATTGTTGAAGGCCGTACGGTTACCTAAAGTTGCATTAATTAACGTCATTAAGTCTACGATATATAGTGGTCGCATTGATAATCATTACACATCTTATGTTTGTATGTATTCTCTCTGTATTTTCATACATATTCATTTGCATATCAGCATGTATAAATACAGTAACTGTTTTATTTTATCTAACTGAAATTGATTTAAATGGGAGCGCTGACTTGTTTCATAAAATAAACCGTCACGGTATTATATAAGTGCATTTCATTGTAGTCAAAGCAAATTTCAAACAATCGTTCGACTTTCCTATATTTAAAAAGCAGATTACATAATGTGATAAACCAGTAATTATTTTGGAATTTTATAAGGATATATATAAATAAATCCTCACTTTTTTTTTATATAAATGTACAGTTGTTTGATATGTTTTAAAGTGTCTCATAAGTCTATTCTAAGGCTTGATTATGAATTGTTGTATATATATATTGTTTGATCAAATATGTGACACTATAATAAAATACTTATTTATTTATTTTTTATTTTATATTATGCAAATTTAATATAGCGGATTGAACTTCTATCATGCATATTACGAATTTACACAATAAACTATTATAGGCTACCTTTATTTATATATGTGTATTTTAATTCATTTAAACAATAAAGGCTTCGAAAGATCTTAACAAATATTTTGTTAAAATCCATTTTTACATACATTTAATTGTGTCAATTCTAGTATTTTTAGAAATTTCAAAAAGACCTTTACCTCTTTTTTGTTCTTTTCTTTTTTTTTTTTTTTTTTTTTTTCCATTACCAATTTCAAGTTTTATATTTCAGATTCACGTTATTCTGTCTACTTTGTTTTTTGGCAATATATTATCTATTTCCCTGAAATTTACATCTTTTCGTCTGAACAATGAATGGAGCCTCTACAAGAAATCATATAATAAAATATATAAGGATGACAATGAAGAATTGCGACGGTAAGCTTTCAGTGTTTCGAATATTCATAATATAGTGTTGCATTTGATATTTCTAACATGCCAAAAAGAGAGGCGAAAGATACCAAAGGGACATTTAAACTTATAAGTCGAAAATAAACCTACAACGCCATTGGAAAAAAAAAGACCAAAAGAAAAACAACAGTATACAAAACACTACATAAAAAAGACTGAGTAATACGTACACCGACAAAAACATGGGGTGATCTTAGGTGTTATGGAAGGGTACACATATCATGCTTCATATGTGACACCCGTCGTGTTGCTCATGTAAGTACAAACACGGTGATGAGTCTAATTCGGTAGGTTACATTCTGGAAAAGGAAAGACGGGATTGTGTTTACGACCAAATTATCATTAACCAATAGATATAAGAAGATGTGGTATGAGTGCCAATGAGACAACTCTCCATCCAAGTCAAAATTTATAAAAGTAAACCATTATAGGTCACAGTACGGTCTTCAACACGGAGCCTTGGCTCACACCGAACAGTAAGCTATAAAGGGCCCCAAAAAATTACTAGTGTAAAACCATTCAAACGGGAAAACCAACGGTCTAATCTATATAAAAAACGAGAAACAAGAAACACTTATGAACCACATCAACAAACGACAACTACTGAACATCAGATTCCTGACTTAGGACAGGTGCAAACAAATGCAGCGGGTTTAAACGTTGTAATGGTACCAAACCTTCATCCTTTTTCTGAAACAATAGTGTAACATCACAACATAGAAAGACACACTATAAAATATCAACTGAAATAGCTTAACTCAATCAAAGGACATATTAACACCATTGAACATACACTGAACAAATAAATTTGACCTATGATACAATGTAAATACAAAATAAATAAACTAAGGGAAGAATAATAAAAGTAACATGTTATATCGGTAAGAAATGTAAAACAATTAAAGAAAAACAATATGCTCGAACAAAAATACCATCCATTTGCAATAACTTTAAACACAGGTAAATGAAAATAATTTTGTTGTTAGGTATACCTGTACAGTACCAATAGAGAAAGGAAATATTTTTACAAAAAAAATAATTTTGAATACAAAATAAATAAACTAAGGGAAGAATAATAAAAGTAACATGTTATATCGGTAAGAAATGTTAAACAATTAAAGAAAAACAATATGCTCGAACAAAAATACCATCCATTTGCAATAACTTTAAACACAGGTAAATGAAAATAATTTTGTTGTTAGGTACACGTGTACAGTACCAATAGAGAAAGGAAATATTATTACAAAATAAATAATTTTGATGTTCATAGTACGAAGTGAAAATTTATAGTTATACCAAACACTTATCAAAGCTGGTATATAGACCAGATATAACCCTGAATAACATTAAATAACAAAAAAGCAATACAATTAGTATCAACAGGTCAAATAAACAAGAAAGTACGATTTGAGAGTACTCGCAGTTACTGACAGCTAGTTAAAAGCCAAAACAATTAATAATAAAAAATCATGCATCAGAGACTAAAATCAACTAAAACACATCCCAGGGATTTAGTATTTTAACGTCATGGACAGTCAAGGAAGACATGACTAGTGCAATGCCAAAAATAAATGTATCGACAGACAGTAGGATAGTTAGGAGTTTTACCTCTTTATAGATCTAAACGAACGTGGGTGTGTGTTTTTATGTCCATTTTATTCACATTTATACTTAAAACATGATAATACAATTGGTAACTATGCAATTTGCTTTAACGAAGCAATACACGATACACGTTGCTTTGAATAAATGGAAGACACACAATTAAGGGTAAACGAAAGACTTCCAATAGGTGGCAACATACTATAGTAGGGTCACTCTTTCTTAATGTTTTATTTATTGTTCGTCATCTATGATCATAAACTTTAAGGATATAAATTGCCACATGTTCATTCCATACATATATTGATAAGAATTAATTTTTTTCTTGATATATAAACAGTTGTTCGTGTGTATTGTACGAAGTGTGATATTGTTCATTTAATGTCATTAAAAGCCATTTATTACAACCATTGTAAGCTATATCGTTTTCATATTTGATGAGTATTCCATTTGTCAATTTAGGAGTTTGGAGATTATAACGATCGAAACAGAAGAGAAAGGCGTATCATGTGCTCGTGATACAGATTATATATTTGGGTCTTTGTATAGCTAAGTTGAATTTTTATCCCATATCTCTTCTTTTTTGTTTTGTATTTGTATTTTTTGTCACTCCCGATCGGGACAGAAATGTTCCGTATAATTTATGTGTGTTTGGCCGTGCAAATAGTGCACAAATTAAAAAAATATGTCTCCAGTCAAATTGGCAAATAATTAATTAACATTAACAGAAAAATGTTTTTAGACGAGTGATCTGGGAAGACAATGTCCGTTTTATCGAGCATCACAATATGGCAGCAGATCGTGGAGAACATAGTTACTGGCTTGGAATTAACCATTTTGCTGACTTGGTAAGTGATTTATAAACGCCAAATTTAAAGTGAAATACAAATTTTGATTAAGTCAGAAAATATGTTTTTTAATCGACAAGTTTTTCCTACATGGAAAAAACACAAAAATCGACTAGTGCTAAACACGTTATGTGTTGAATTTGTCATTTAGAAAAATTACAAGACATGTTTCGTCGTAATCATTGATTATTCCAAATATAGAAAAGAACGTAGCTTCTAATAAATCGAAAAGAAACAACAACATCAAATTAAGTTTTAAAAAACAAAGTGTTTTGAAAAGACTATTATTCTATGGCCTATGCGTTAATTTTTTGTCAGTTACTATACATTGAGTATTGATGACAATACGACCGTCTATTGCATTCAAAGCATCTTGTTTAACAAAAACATAATGTCAACTTGTATTTTTCAATTTCAGTCAGAGGCAGAAGTGACTCAAAAAATGAAAGGATACAAAATGGCGAACGATGTCATAAATTACAGCTCTACATATCTGCATCCAAACAATGTCAAACTTCCCGATAAAATTGACTGGCGACAACAAGGCTATGTTACTCCAGTAAAAGATCAGGTCAGTATAATTTTCCTATATCAGACTTGTTTACGTGTTTGTCGTTTTCCTTTTCCTGAAACCTTTCTTAAACCTAAATGTCAATTATCCTAAACGCATGAAAGCAAACAATAGAGCTGATAAGAAGTGTTGTTCAGATTAATGGGTTATTGCACTGATATTAAAGAGTGTTGTTCCGGTTTTAAATGGGTTATTGCACTGATATTATGGATGTTATTCCGAGTAAATGGGTTATTGCATTGATATTAGGGAGTGTAGTTCCGAGTAAATGGGTTAGTGTATTGATATTAAGGAGTGTTGTTTCGATTTTAAATGGGTTATTGCACTGATATTATGGAGTGTTATTCCGAGTAAATGCGTTATTGCACTGATTTTAAAGAGTATTGTTCTGAGTAAATGAGTTATTGCACTGATATTAATGAGTTTTGTTCCGATTTTAAATGGGTTATTGCGCGAATAATAAGGAGTGTTGGTCCGAGTAAATGGGGTATTGCACTGATATTAAGGAGTGTTGTTCCGATTAAATGTGTTATTGCACTGATAATAAGGAGTGATGTCCCGAAAAATTGGGTTATTGCACTGATATTCAGGAGTGTTCTTCGGATTAAATGGGGTATTGCACTGATATTAAGAAGTGTTGTTCTGATTTCATGGATTATTGCACTGATATTAAGGAGTGTTGTTCCGAATAAATGTGTTATTGCACTGATATTAAGGAGTGTAGTTCCAATTAAATGGGTTATTGCACTGATATTAAGGAGTGTTGTTCCGATTAAATGGGTTATTGCATTGATATTAAGGAGTGTTGTTCCGAGTAATATACCATATTGCATCAGCTAAAAATTAGTCAAAAAGCACTTTTCTAATATATCATTAAACGATTTTAAATGTAGATACGTCTAAGTAAATCATAGGTTAATACAAAAATCCTTTATCAGTATCAGTTTTCCGGTTACAAAATGCAACTTAAGAATAAAATGTATCTTTAGAAACCCAATATTGCATACAAAATAAAATCTTGATAACAATATATGTTTAGAGTGTGAGATAAAAGGTGTTTGTGTTTGTTTTTGTTTTTGGTTTTTTTTTCTAACGTTAAGAAAAGTAAAATCTATAAGCATTAGAAAGAACATTTTTCAAGTACCTTAACGTGCGCTTTGTGTATTGTGGCAAATATCATGGGGACACAACACAGACGTTTTCTGCTTATTCTTTCTTCGTAGTTTCTCGCACACCACTATACGTTTGCTATTAACATGATTAAACAATTAACTCCTTCTTAAATAAAACAAAAATACATGCCGATCTCGATAAATAATTATTCAAAGGATTTGAAACGTGGTAGGTGCGTCAGATGTCATTTTTTCCAGCAAAACGTTTATTGAATATAGTTCTTACATTTTATCGTGAGTCAATGTATGACATTTTTGCAGGTGCATTGATTTTGAATTAAAATGTGTACTAGTATCTAACGGATAAGTTATATCATCCGTAATAAATGAAAGTATTAGATTTTAGAAAAAACCCTGGCGGACAAATGAAAATATATCATATAATTATTTTTGATTATCTATTGAATTTTTTGTTAGAAATTGTCGCAAGATATATTTAAAGATAACTTTGGGTTTGGCTTTAATTACATTTCACGTTTTTACCATAAGTAATATCACCAAATTGATGCAAAAAAGTATTTTCTAAGGTTGAGGAAGTTGTTTGAAGGACAGATGTTATGTCGATAAAAATCTTACGATGGGGGTCATACGGTGTAAATATAAAAATAAGAAGATGCAGTATGATTGCCAATGAGACAACTCTCCAAAAGTGAGCAAATGACACAGAATTTACCAACTATAGGTCACCGTACGGCCTTCAACAATGAGCAAAGCCCATACCGCATAGTCAGCTTTAAAAGGCCCCAAATGACGAATGTAAAACAATTCAAACGAGAAAACTAACGGCCTAATTTATGTACAGAATAAGGAACGAAAAACAACTATGTTACACAGCAACAAACGACAACCACTGAATTACAGGCTCCTGACTTGGGATAGGCACATACAGAATGTGGCGGTGTTAAACTCGTTTGAAGGCGCCAACCCTTCCCCTAACCTGGGACAGTGTTGTAACAGTACATGTACAACATAAGAACAAACTATACAAGTCAGTTGAAAAAGGCTTAACTCATCAGATGAATACAAATAGAAATACATCTAACAAAAGCACAAAGTGGACGAGGACGGGTACGTATACATCCTCACAACAAAAAGACACTAAGTACAGATCTGAGAGTACTCGCAGTTACTGACAGCTAGTTCAAAGCTAATAACAACTAATAAAAAAAATCATACACCTAATATAAACAATCTGTATAAATCTTTCCTTTATTCAGGGACTATGTGGATCATGCTGGTCATTTTCATCGACTGGTGCCCTGGAAGGTCAACATTTCAGAAAAACAGGAAAGTTGGTTTCTTTATCAGAACAGAACCTTGTGGATTGTACTTTTAAGTATGGTAAGCATCAGGCATATTTGTAATTACACAGGTCCACGGTCACTTAAATAGCGAACACACAGACTATAGTTAACAAAATGAAGACTAGTATTAATTAAACCATGTTGAGATTTACACATGTATAGATCTGTAGGGTTAATAAAACTCTTTTTTTTTACTATGATTTTAATGAAAAGAGAGAGAAATCTTTCCACATGTTTGTAAAAAGTCAACATTTCTAACATTATTTATCATACCTTCATTTCAGTGACGATAAAAATTGTAATTGATCTCATAATAGATAAGCATGAGACACTTCCAACCATATGTAAAGCAAACAATCAAATGCACAGCATGCCTCCTTCTGTAGTTATTTCACATTTTTTTCCACAGCGTCAATTCAAAACAGATAAGCAGACTAAGTTATAGTTGACCTATGTATAACACTTTTCAGTCATATGTATACTGTATTTACATTAGGTGATGGGACATATTTTACACTTTGCTTTTTGTTTTCAGTTGATTTTCCATGATAAACGGGAGACCCTCAAAATAGAACTATGTGCAAACGCCCATTCAATACGCGTTATTGATGTGATAACTGCGCTCGGTATGCTCCTGAGACGAGACAAGATACGACGGGTGCCACATGTGTAGTAGGATCTGCTTACCCTTCCGGAGCACCTGAGATCAACCCCGGTTTTTGGTTGGGTTCGTGTTGCTCAGTGTTTAGTGTTCTATGTTGTGTTCTGTATATTGTTCTTTGTCTTTTGATCTTTTTCCCTTTTTTTTATTGCCATGGCGTTGTCAGTTAATTTTCGACTGATGAGTTTGAATGTCCATTTGGTATCATTCGCCTCTTTTTTTTAACTTATGAATAGTAGGCATTTTTCCAGACCCGTGTCTCCCTAGAAACAAGACCCTAGTGTTGGGCTTGTAAATCTTATTTATAAACAAAGTCGCTTCTCTTGTCAATCTTCATTTTAGATACTGCCCAAAGTCGAGAGACTTTTGTAATGGACAATATATATGGTAATTTATTTAAAGTGAGTAGTTGATAAAATTGTATAGCTTATATCCTCTTTTATTTAAAGGAAATGGTGGTTGTAATGGAGGGTTTGTGTTCAAGGCATACCAATACATTAAAAACAATAATGGAATAGATACAGAATCATCCTACCCTTATGAAGGCCGGGTAACTATATCATTATACAACCTTCTTCTTCCTTTTTTCTTTATTGTGTGTATGTTTTGTTTTTGTTTGTTTGTTTTGTTTGTTTTTTTTTACTTCTTTTAAAACTCTGCTTTCGATCGAAATGCATGCTAGCCAACAGAAACAAGTTATTAATTGTACTGATCTTTAACAAAAAATTATAGCAATCTATAGCAAGGTATTCAAATATGTTGTTTCTGTGATCATATGCAGACTAGGAATCTGTAACAACTTGTTAGCATTTTAGGTATATTAACAAGATATGACTGCGGAATAGGACACATGTCAAACTTCTACTTTTTCTAAGCCACAAATATTTATGGTATGAAATCTACATTTATATTATTAATGAGTAAAGGAAATTTCATCAGCCTCCAAGGTTTCATGAATGATTAATTAATAGTAGATGTTTAACGCCACTTTCCGCATTATTGGCTATATCACGGTGGCCAGTTTGTATTGATAGAGGAACCGGAGTATCCGGTGAAAACCACCAAACTTCGTCAAGAAAACTGAAAATAATACTTAATTTAAATTGGAGTCAAACACGCTTGTCTCGAATTGCGTTCGAACTTACAACCTACAAATTGACAGGCTAGTGATCCTGTAAATGAACTACTTAGACAATTCATCTACCGGGGAACCGGATTTTAGAAAGAAAACTTAATTCTGAATGTTAACACGTACATGTGCAAAAGGTATAACTCATGTATTTGTCAATGGGCCAGGATTTCTTACCAAAAAGCATTTTTTTTCATATTCGGAATTAACAATATACGCATTCAAAGCATTCCTGTAGAAACATGTAGGAGGAGTTTCGTCTACAAAGCATGGTTTTATGAACACTGAAAATTTTAATCAATTTCAAAAGTATATCCAAACTGTTAACTAAGCCTTAAAGGATTAAAAAACGTGGGGGAGGGTTGAGATCTCATAAACATGTTTAACCCCGCCGCATTTTTGCGCCTGTCCCAAGTCAGGAGCCTCTAGCCTTTGTTAGTCTTGTATTATTTTTAATTTTAGTTTCTTGTGTACAATTTGGAGTTTAGTGTGGCGTTCATTATCACTGGGCTAGTATATATATTTGTTTAGGGGCCAGCTGAAGGACGCCTCCGGGTGCGGGAATTTCTCGCTGCGTTGAAGACCTGTTGGTGACCTTGTGCTGTTGTCTGTTTTATGTTCGGGTTGTTGTCTCTTTGACACATTCCCCATTTCCATTCTCAATTTTATTTCCATTCTGGTTCATGTAATTTCAATTCATTGTTTCTCCCTATGTATTAGAATGGTAGCTGCAGATTTCAAAAATCCGATGTCGGAGCTACAGTTACAGGATTTACTATCATAAAGAAGGGGGATGAACAGGCATTACAATCTGCCGTAGCAACAGTCGGTCCAATATCAGTAGCGATTGACGCTGATCACAAATTTCAACTTTACAAGAGCGGTAGGTTCTTAAAACACAAACACAATTAAAAAGCAAAACAATTTAGTTCAAAACTATTTCAGAGCTGTCTAGAAGAAAACTTCAAATAATCTAAAATAATTTTATTAATATATTAATATGTTAAGGTCATGTGTTTCTCTGACTTTTAATGACGTCTTTTGCACTACAGCCTTTGGTTGTTGTATGTGAACTGATTTTTTATTGTCTTGATTACATGATGTTTGTTTATCAGTTGTTATTTGCTTTGAACTAGCTGTCAGTAACTGCGAGTACTCGAAGATCTGTACAATGGGTCTTTTTATTTGATTTTGAGGGATGTATAAATACCCAGCCACCCCCGGTTTTTGTATTTGGTAGATGTTTTTTTCTGCTTGTGTCAATCGGATGAGCTAATACCCTTTCAGCTGATTTTAATAGTTTGTTCTTATTTCGTACTGTTATACTACTGTCCGAGGTTAGGCGAGGGTTTGTGCCTTCAAACATGTTTATCCCCGCCACATTCTGTATGTGCCTGTCCCAAGTCAGGAACCTGTAATTCAGTGGTTGTCGTTGGTTCATGTCAGTCATATTTGTCATTTGTAAATTGTTTTGTTTTAAATTAGGCCGTTAGATGTCGCAATTGCATTGTTTCATATTTTTCATGTCGGGGCCTTTTATAGCCGACTATATGGGATGGGTTTTTCTCATTGTTTAAGGCTGTACGGTTGCCGATAGTTGCTTACATTAACTTCATTTAAACTTTTGTGGTTAGTCGTCTCATTGGCAATCATACCACATCTCCTTTTTTAATATAGGTAACAAATAGTGATTCGCATATTTGTAATACATATATAATAACTGTTTATTGTCTTTAAATATCAGCTGTATTTGTACGAGGCTAAGAAACAGGTGTAATGCGAGCTTCAACGAGCTATTACTCCTGTTTCGAGCCGAGTAAACATACAGCTGATATTTAAAGACACTAAACAGTTTTTGTCTTTATCCTGCAATTAAATTTGTACATTGTTTTCCCATCCCAATCGTTGAATTTGTGTTTGAAAGAAATCGACATGACTTAAACGCGGACCGCAATGAGGACCCCACATTGAACTGTGAAGTAAACAGTAATTTGACAGTACCGTTCGCTCGCAACAGAAGCAGGATACCAGGAGACTATATACGTCTAGTATACGTATATAGCTTCGTGTTATCTGTACACCTGTATTAGTATAGTAGAAAGGTCGATTGCAGGATAAATGTAATACTTCTACGAGATTTAGCATACATGTATGTACAAATTGCTTAATATAACTGTATACTCTATATTGTATGTAAACCTGTATATTGCTGCAAATTTATCTTGACCTATGTATGTGTCTTGAGTTTTATTGTCAATATGCTTGCTGGCTCATTGTCTTCTTTGTTTTTCATATCCATCTACCATTAATCTTTAATCATTACTCCGATGTTTACTTATATTACAGGAGTGTTTAACGAACCAGGATGTAATACCACTTTCACTGACCATGCAGTTTTAATTGTGGGATATGGTGTAGAGAATGGACAAGACTATTGGCTCGTAAAAAACAGGTAAAACAAGTGTATGTTTCAACAACCATAACAAGTACAATTAAAAAGTTGCACAACTTCATTTGTATAGAATCGATATTATGTCGATGGACTTTATTATAGCATAATACCAAGGAAAATAGAAAAGACATTGTAAACGGAAATGAATGTACAATGTATTCTTACAAATGATAATTACTTTAAAATTTGAAAAAAAAAGAAAAAAAGTTCGATATTAAGTCAGGTGTTAAATGTTGTAGAAGGGTATACTTTGGAAGTTGTATTCAGCCTTGCCCTTTAATTCCAAAACCATGATGTGACTTTCGAATGCATTTTACATATATTGTATTGCAATAATCGATTGATTTCATACAAAATTTGTAGTTTCAGATCAGTGAACTTGCAGGGAGTTACAATTTTGAAATTTCATTTTATTGATCAAATTGATCAAATTGGGAAGTATTAATGTCGCAACATAGTACCAACGATAAAAACATGATATATATTTTTTCAGCTGGAGTGATAGCTGGGGAATTGATGGATATATCAAAATGTCGAGGAACAAAAACAACCAATGCGGTATAGCGTCTTACGCCATGTACCCTCTCGTTTAATAGCATCTTGTGAGGACCAGACGCCAATTAAACTTTAATAGCATCTCGTTGGGACCATTGTATTGCATATTAAACTTTCTGTGTGTTTATAAATCATTTTATATTGTGCTTGATTTTCATATGTTGAAGACATAATCTTTCAATCAGTTGAATTGAAGTCTGTAGCTGGCATGTCTGTAACTGATAGTAGTCCTTTGTTAATACAAATGTATAAGTTTATCATTGTCATTTTGCTTAGTTTCATCTTGTACTTATTCTAAAATCGGACTCGGACGTCTTTTGAACTAAGTCGTACTGTGCGTTTTGCTGCGTGTTTGTTATTCCAAATTGGCTAAAGGTATATGGGAAGGCTTGAGATCTCACAAAACATGCTTAACCCCGCCGCATTTTTGCACCTGTTCCAAGTCGGGAACCTCTAGCCTTTGTTAGTCTTGTGTGTTTTGTTTTCAAATTTTGGTTGATTTGCATCTTTTGTAGTTTTTATGTGACTTCCATTTCGTTGCAATAGTATACATTATTGTTTTTGGTCTTTGGTCTCTGCATGGTCGGGTTTTTGTCTCTTTCCCGTTTCTATTCTCTATTCTATATGTCATGTTCTAAATCCTTGAGAGTCAGCGTCGGGCCATGGTTGACATTTCTTTACGAACTGTTAAAACGGACGATTGGTGTCGTTTTGAACTGGTAATTTAAAATGTTTATTTATGCTATGTAAGTGAACACAATAAAAACTGTTTTTTATCAATTTGGAAAGAATAATTATACTGTTCCAACATTTTGGTATACAAAAACAAACAATTCCAAACATTGGTCGGAGTACATGTGACATTAGATTTGTATATATTTACTGTGTTTTTCATTATATATGTATTATGATTACCGTCTATCATGTTTGCTACTTCCGAAAGATTTTGTAAGCGGTACTACATTAATATTTCAATATCCATGTGTCTGTATTGTAAAAAGGTCAAAATATGCTAACCGTGAACACAAATGAGAAGATTATGGTATGATTACTAATGAGACAACACAGACCAAATAATGTAGAATATATACCAACAATTACAGATCACCGTACAACCTTCAAAAATGAACAAAACTTATACCGAATAGTAATCTATAAAAGACCCGACATAATATATATAAAACAATTAAAACTAATACTAACGTTTCTTATGAGACAAATCTTCAAACCGACCCAAAAAAAAAGATAAACCGATAGGCGGTAAATGAATAAATATAACATATTTGTTTAATATACGAGGATTAGACAATTGCATTTGAATAATACTGTTTTGTTTGAAAAGTATTTTATCTATATATTCATGTATTTGAAAGTGAGGACACTTCAACATTTTATAATTTCAATTTATATAGTTTTATCATTAAAGGAAAAATAAAATTGTTTGTTTTGGTATTTTTGTATTTTTGTATGGCTGTGTTATACCTGTCTGAAAGGTTTTGACCAAAATTTCGAAATAATTCTGATGATATTGTTAATAGAGGACTACTAAAGTTTTTGATTTCAAAATTGATGGATTTAATTTGTTCCCCAAATACCAAGAGTTGGAGCTACATGTTTAAGATTTACAATCACGCACCATCCGACAGCTCTTTGTTAGCACACGTTATCACAGCAACAGTAAAGTTTTACACAATGCAATTACCAGATTGCTGTCAATAATCGCTAAAATAAAGACGGTTTTATTGACATAAAGTACTCACATGTAATTGAAATAAAAGGACCTGGTGGATCAATTCCTGACACATTAGTGTTACCTGCACACATAAAACAATTCATAAGGAAAAGCACATCTCAAAGTCTAAGTGAGTCATTCATCATAGAGCTCATTTTCCTACCGAAGGTCGGTGGTTTTCTCCGGGCACTCCGGCTTCCCCCACCAAAAAAAAAACTGACCGCGATGAAATAGCACAATAGTGTTGAAAGTGGCGTTAAACACCAATCAATCAATCAGTTATAGAGCTCACCCTTCAACGTAACCGTAATAATTATACCCTAACACAATTACCATAATTTCAAAATCCGGTCTTTTTTTAATGCTGTTGTCTTATATGGTAAAATTGAAGAAGAGTTGTTGTAGAAAACATGTATTACCTTTTTTTTGAGAAAATAATTACCAATTATATATATACATAATACTCTCTTCTCATTTGCTTTACTAAAATTAATATTCAGGCCGATATTTTACATTTTGCTATCCCTGGCCCGGACACCTTATTATGTGGTATGAGTTTCACATAGTGTTGAAACCCTGACAGTGTCATGCAGTTGTTCAAATCGTGGTCCTTTGGTATCTTGTTAATAGTTGTCTCATTGGAAATCATACACATCTCCTTTTTTTTTTATTCAAGCTGTAGATGTCCTCATTTTAGTCATTCAAAATTTTGTCTTGTCGGGACCTTTTATATCTGACTATACGGTATGATATATGCTCATTGTTGCAGGCCGTATGGTACATGTAAGCTATAGTTTCTTATACCCAAGTCCGTTAGTCTCTAGTGAATAGTTGTCTTATGCTTATGGGAATCACACTATCCAGCTAGCTCTCTTTGGGATTATTCAAATAAAATTCAAAAAAATAATATTTTCAAAAAGCCTGTCAAAAGTCGTTGTTTATCTTTTTTTACTTGAATAATTTGAAGATCGTCTGTAGTATTAAGTGTGGTATACGCTAATATTCACAACATGTCTCAATTCGGAAACCATTTAGTACTTAACTGAATTACCCATATCTATCGTTGCAAACATGAAGGAACATCTAGATGTGTTTGAACCTTTAGGATTGTTGGATTGCTGTTTTATTAACGTTTATTCCTACAACTACTTTTATGATATCTTATATTTCTATTAACGATTTTTCTTTCAAGAACTCACAGAAGAGATACAAAAAAAATGTCGTTCAGATTTCGTTACTTAAAACTAAACATTGAAGGAAAATATGTCATGAGATATTGATAAAGTAAATTAACGGAAATCATAAGGTTCAATTACATATAATAAGCTCTTCCTTCTTCCTGTTGATAACTACGATGAAATTCAATCATAAAAACAAGTAAACATTAAATATAAGACAGCTTACAGATAACATGTCTTTTGTGGCGAACATACAAAAAAGTTGCAGAATGAAGGTAAAGGTTATATGCATTTTCTTCGTTTGTTTTGATACGTAGCTGTCTACGTGATATTTTGTGAGATATTGTTTTGGCAATTGTGAATACTGATGTTCTTGAAATTAGAATTGAATTTCACAGTTCAAATTCAGGAAACACGTATCTCAAAATTTCGCTTTGATACCGATGTATTTAATGGACTTTTAAACAAACAAATGTATTACAATAATATTCACTTTTGAATATAGAAATCCAGTCTTCATTAAAATTAATTATGTATACATTTTCAACAACTACTTTTAAACTTACAACTGCCAATGTATTTACATGGATGTACTTTTACTTGTACATATGAGTTAATTTAAATATTCTTTTAAAAGAAAACTTTCCTTGAACATATAAAAACTATGCTCGTATACCGACAACTCTTGTTTGACAGAAATATTATTTACAAGTTTAATAACTCGGTGACACGTTTACCACAAACCAAGAGTTATCATCCTCGCTTGAAACAAATACGACCGCATGTACCGTTTTGTTTCTAAATAAAAGAAATATAACTATAACAGGTTGTAGTTTTTTCTGTTACGTTTATGAGTCAGTGTTTGAAATAACTACTGTAGCATTGTGTTGGACAGCTCGATAGAAGTGGCAAATGCCTGTAATATCTTGTTTACCTTATTTTGGAGTGAACACCAGAAAACAGTATACCACCACCGCATGTAGGTTGGCTATGTATGTAATTTCAAAATTTGGTTTCATTATAGAAATAAGAAGATGTGGTATGGTTGCCATTTAGATGACTATCTATAGACCTAATGAAGTGGATGTCAGCATAGGTCGCAGTAAGGTCTTCAACTATGAGCAAAACCCATACTCTACAATAAGCTTCTCTTCCATGTGGCATTTAACAATAGGCATTTGTAATTCATTTTAGTGTTCTTTTCAGGATACTAGGTGACATATGTTTGTCTTATAGTTTTACATGTAAAAATTAATTCGATTAATCAAAGACTGTCTATAATATTATTTACTTGTTTTGAAAATTGAAAGTTTAAAATATTTACATAAATACATGTACTACAGATGTTCACACTTGTACAAGTAATTAATCCGCATTTTGATTAATAACAAAAGCATTTAACAACTGTGTGTCATATACATGTCGTATCCACAACATTTCCTCCTATTTTAGAACTAACGATTGATATTTACTAGTCATTTTGATAAATGAATTTCTGTTGTGTTATATGGGGGGGGGGGGGGGGGGGGGGGGGGGGGGGGGGGATTAAAGGCTAGAGACCTGTTAGGAACATGCAGTAACCATATAGTTTTGATCTTTCATAAATACTAACCTAAATATAACAAGGTTCTCCCTGCATAATAATTTCCCTAGAATCACACAAGAATAAAGAGATGTGGTAGTATTGCCAATGAGACAACTATCCACAAAAGTTCAAATAAAGTGGATGTAAGTAATTACAGGTAACCATACGGCCTTCAACATACATTCAATATGTTTTTCTGCTGACTGGTACTTGTATGATCTTTCGGACCCTTATTATAAAATTCTGTGAAAACGACGATGTATTTAACGGTAGTTTTCGTTTTGTGCGTAATGTCGTATTTGTGTGTGCCTTTTTTATTGTGATTTTATTACAGCTTCTTGATAGTGCAGCGATTAATATAAGAGTGAAAGAAAGTATCTAAATTAAAGCGTTGCATCTATTTTCAATTCTATTGATACGGTACTGTATGGGTGGATTCTTATTTTACTTTATTTGACATTGGACGTTAAGCAGCCAACAAATAATGAATCAATCATTATTTTCTTTCTTAAAAGTATCTTATATATATATCATGAGGTTGGAGTTCAAAAGGAAACCGACGGGAAGTTCGATTACTTGTTTTATCCCACCATATTGTCATTTACAAATACAATCAGGAAACTAGACACTGTTTTATATTATACACGTTATATACATGCATGTCTTAATTTTTTTTAACGTCTTGTTTAAAGAAGCTTTATTGTTTTTGCAATCTCTTTAAATTAATGCATGATTTGTCTTAACACGGGCCTATTTAGGGCGGGACATAATTTATGCTATATTGTCTTTTTGTTTGTTCCCTTTTTGATACTTTTTGAGGTTTTGTGTATTGTTGGGTTGCTTTCCAGTTAACGTATGTCCCTTTGTTTACTCTACTAGTTCAAAGTGACCGAGGTAAAGTCAGTTTTCACCGAGTTTACATTGTACACGAGATTCACATATGGGCGATTTATAAAAATATTATATATCTGTGCCAAAATTCATAGAATCACAAACTAATATCCAATGCTGATCCCGTATGCCCGATATTCCCTAAGATGTACTGTAGAATGTGAGCAATGTACCTTCAAATGGGATAATTGAAGCGAGTGACAAAGGAAAGCATATAGACTCTAGTGAAGAATATGTTTTTATTTAGTGTTATATTTTAGAAACTATTTAGCATATTATCTCTTTCATTTGAAATATATTGTAACTAATATCTTAATCAAGCAAGGATATATGGTCAAAATTTCTTGAACCAAACTATCGTTTCTGTCATAAAATGCTTCATAACATGGAAATAGCCTTCTTGACAAAACACGTAGTGTACTGTCGACTGGTGTATTATGTGTACCGGGTATTCCATAAATTAGAATTTTAGTGTACTGTAAATTATATAACAACGGCGCTCGTAAAATGTATATTGAGGGGTATTCCATCGTAGTTAAAGTTACATATAACAGTAAAACCCTTGCCAAAGCGTGTGGTCCGTTTGGCTGTACTGGATGTATTAATACGCAGCCACGTCCAGTCAGATTGTGGATAACTCGAGTAGAGAGAATGCCAAGCTCTCTGCACGTTAAGAGCTCTTGGTTCAACTCTTTGAGGGGTTCGTATGTGACTTCTTGCAAGGCTCAATTGCTGTCCCTATCCAATATACCCTCATTTTCCAGTGGCATTTTGAGATTCCCGACATTCATCCCGGGCGCCCCTATTACAGGACCTACCTAATTTATTTATTGTTAATTTGTTCTCTTCCTGAATATACATGAAATATTTGCCCTTGGACGTTAAGCAACCAACAATCACTCAATCAATCGATTTAGAATATACTTTATATCCCTCATCGTTCAAATTCAGATAAATATAATAGATGATGATCAAATAACATTTTTTTTTAATCAATGGATATATAAAAAAAAATATTTAGATTCTACCACTGCATCGAGTGAGATACGAGATTTCTCCACTCGAGACAATTCAATTTTGAATTTTTCAAACGCGAAGCTCGCCGTGCGTTTTAAATATTTGATATTGAACTATCGAGAGTCGACCGGAGAAATATCGTATTGCACGAGATTTGGTGGAAGAGTTTGTTTCTCTTATGATTTTTAAACGATATGCAGACAAACTTTGTTTTTCTTTTCCAATGTTCTGCAAACAGATGTGTTCTTTTTATGTCATCAGGAATGTTCGCCTTTTTTTCGTGGCGCCACAGTAGGAAATTCAGGGGCAAGCAAGAACATTTCCATCATAATTGAGATCCAACGAACCACAAATTGAAAATCCTGGATTGGTAAGAGCTGAAAATAATAACCTTGCATAAAACAGGATGAAAGTAAATAGTCTACAACATAAAATGCAGAAAAAAATTGTGCACAAACGAGAAAAAAAAATTAGATGAAAATGAGTAGTCAATCCGCAAAAAAAAAATAAAATACCTAGAGTTAGACTGAAAATGTATAAAACACAACTGACCTCTGTTTGGTTGTAGTTTATTCATCGCTTCGGCTTTCCCAATATAATTTAAGCAATATAATGTGATATTTCAGAATATTATATTTATTTTTTTTTCAGAGACAAAACTATTCATTTTGATTTAGAATATCCTTATAGATGCAATATTTTACAAAACGATGTTGATATTGTACCACAAATCCGTAACAGGAATGTAATGCGCTGATAATTATACACCTTATATCAATATTTCGGATTTTAGATAGTTGATAGCCAGTGTATTTGTCATGCATTTTGTTTTATCGAATGTGTATCGTTCATTTCTCACCGCCGGCGTATATGCACAAGGATATGCCTTGTTTGCCCCCTCTGTCGTGGTATTAGCCAAAACGCATATCCCTTTTTTCCTTCACGGAGACGCTTGATCGTGTGTGCGTTTTTATCAAATGTAAAATGATGTTTTTAACTACGTTTTAGTGATAGAATATGGAATTAAATCGAATGTTTATGACTTAATTATTTCTTTTTTATATTCAGTTTACTCAAACATATAAATCGTGTTAAGGAAGGTTTTTTTTTCAAAAATGACCAGTCTTGAGAAGAAATTTTTTTCGCGTAGCAGCACATTACTTTCTCTGATACCATGGTTTATTCTCTATGTAACGATTACGAAAAACAAAATCTTATCACGCTTACTCCGATATCTCAACGTCTTATTTCCAAATTTCTCTTGATTATGTTATTGAAATCTTTATTGTTTAAAAGTCATACTGTAAATTCAGAAATTATTGCGAGGTTTTTATTAATGCGAATAATGCGACTAGATGAGTATCGCAATAATAAGAACTCGCATTTTGATAACTAAAACATAAATCTGTATGTAGATTTTTCTGAAATCGCAATAATTAAACTCGCATTCTTGTCCATTTTTGAAAAATCGCAATAATAAATGCACGCAATAATTTCTGAATTTACAGTATATACATTGAAAATGTAGTTGTCGTTATGGTACCCCACATCTCTTTTCCTTCATATCATTTGGAATAATATTTTTTATTATGTTGTTGGATTGCTGTACATGATATATTTCCTCGTAGTGTCCGAAGTCCCGAGTTTATCCCAGGGTCTTGGTGAAATTAGTGTTGCTAAATATTTAGCAAATATTTCTGTATATAGTTTTGTTTTTGTTGTTTGTCTTTTCATCGATTTTCTTTTGTGGGAAGTCTTTGCTGTTTTATTCGACCTTTGGATTTTGGTTGCTCCTTGATGTTTTATTTCTTATTTGTTATTTCTATAAGTACTGTACTTAGTTTCAGATGCGAGGGGTTGTGACGGTATTGTGTGTTGGACATACTCTTTCTGGTTTGATGGATTGTCGCCCATTATTTATTTAGTTCAATCTTTTATTTCTATAATTAACTTAGTTTCAGATGAAACTATTTTTGATATTAGTATGTGCTGGACAGACTCTAGCTGGTTCATTGATATTCACATCAGCAGACCTCGACAATGAATGGGAACTATTCAAGACATCTTACAATAAGACCTATTCAGATAATACTGAAGATTTGAATACGTGAGTATGGAATATTATATCTGCATAAATCGAAGATTAAAAGGGCACAACCAAGAGGAAACAAAGAACACACATCATGCGTAAAAAATGAAAATCGTTCAGCGAAAATTAGTGTCTAATGCTAATTATAACATTCCGCTGATTCGGCTTAGTCTATAATCCAGTTTTTATACAAATACTTAGATAATTAGACTATTGAATTTTGATATACTATTGGTTCACTGGAAATGCAACTATATACATATATTCAATGTACATATCGCTACAAAATGGTAAAAATGTACATGCTTTTTTTTTCTCATCTCCGTTTGAATGAAAACGTCCACAAGACAGGCGAAAGATACCAAAAGGGACATTTAAACTCATAGTTCGAAAATAAAAAGACAACACCATGGCTAAAATGAAAAAGACAAACAGACAAACAACAGTACACAAAACAAAAACAACAAAACTAAAGACTGAGCAACAAGAACCCCCGTCAAAAACTGGGGGTGATCTCAGGTACTCCGGAAGGGTACGCTGATTTTGCTCCACATGTGGCACCCATCGTGTTGCTCATGTTAGTACAAACCCTGTTATAAGTCTAATTGGGTAGGTCACATACGGGGGATAGGGGACGGGATTATAGTTACGACAATTGGAACATATCCGCTGTCATCTGTGAAACCAAAAGAATGTGTGCTTTAATTTACTTTGCAGTCGGGATGGATGCCTGGCTTGTTGAAAGTCTAGTGGGAACTATGCATAGTATGGCCAAGAAAATATTGTGTGGTATAAACATGAACCTAGCTTTGCATAATAACGAAATCCTGTGCCGATATTTTAACGCGTAGGTTCACAACGAAAACAAAAATCTACAAGAAAATATGTCACTACATACCATTCTCGAACTTAATGCCGAATGCCGCTTGTTTAGCGATTAACCGCAAATAACAATGTTTAAGTATATGGTGTGACCACATCGTAAACAAAAATCATTAACATTTACACTTCAAATGAGTACGCTACGCTAAGACTAACAATTGTGATATTTGAAGTTTGGATTTTTCCATACCCTTTATTCAATGACATTGAGTTACTTTTTTTTTGTTGCCTTGCAGGCGTTGGATATGGGAGGATAATGTCCGCTTTATAGAACATCACAATATGGCGGCAGATAGAGGCGAACATAGCTACTGGCTTGGAATTAATCATCTCGCTGATCTGGTAATTGTTATCTTAAATTACTTTTGTTTTGGCAGAAGGTAAGACACAATTGCTTAAGTAAAATTAGTACTATCATGAGTTGTTTTTAGCCCGAATGTCTTTGATAAACTCTTGCCCCCTACACATGTATCAAAAGTTACCAGCTCGGTTCAACGTCCCCATGAGACGACTAGTGAATTGCATTAAGGTGGTACCCAACACCTTGACTAATATTAATTTGGCTCGTTTAATTTTCATAAAAATTTGACAAAATGTTTACTTTGACCCTTTGACAAAAATATAAAAATTTCAAAAAATTTGAACCAACCACTTTATCAGAAAAATTTCATTGGTTATATAGCAGTTTGACAAACACTAATTTTGATCATTGAGAAGCTTAATATTTCCTTAACAATACAACGTAATTAAAACGTTTAGCTGATTTTTACAGAGTTATCTCTCTGTAGTGTTAGGTACCACCTTAAAATTAATTGTTAGTATAAGTCTCCCTATGTTCTAGTCCTATTTAGTCAAACATTCGAAGAAAATAATAATAATATTGTGCAATAACTTGATTAAAAAATTCTTTAAAACACAATAGTGAGATAAAAAAAATTCAGCCACGCTGTCTCACAATTCAATAGATCGTAACAGATAATATTATTGAAAGAATCGATAACGGTAGAACAAACAATAATTTTCCGTAAATATCACGACACAGCATGATTAACATCTATACTTTTCTATGATTATATGATTTTATGATTATAACGTAATTATAGAAATAAAAACTGTTCTATGATGACTATGTAAAAATTAAAATATTGTTTTCTGAATATTCTATATTCTCCATGGATTTTCAGTATAAATGTAACTAGGATACTTGATGGAATGCTGTACATTAAGTATTTTGTAAAAGCAACAAGGAGTACAATAAAGAATTAATTAGTGTTAAAAAAAGAGATAAATTTCAGAACATGTACAAAAGCGCCCTCAATCTCACTAATTAACACTGCGTACAATGTAAGAAGGACAACTGTGGAAATCGAAGTGCTAGAATGTAAGCGTTTGGAGAAAAATCCTACCTACGCCAAATCAATGATGTTAACACTTTTTTAGTCCTTAGGTGAAGTAAATCAGATGTTGACACAATACAGAAACAATCGTTCATCAGATGGATCTACTTACCTCCCACCGAATAATGAAAAGAAACCGGAGGAAGTCGACTGGAGAAAGCTAGGATATGTCACAGCTGTTAAAAATCAGGTATCAAATCTCATTAGTATTTTACACGAACCAATATACAGTACACAAGGAAATCGCGATATCGTACATGCACACGATTATTTTTTTAACCATATTACGGTACATAAATCATTATTTTATACATGCTTTTTTTTTAAGTATACACATGACTGAAAGTGAATACAATTGGAAAAAATATTTCAGCAATATTAATTTTGTCAAGAAAACGGATCATTTCATGAATACCAGTCATATTTTTGTGCATTGAATACGAAAAAAATAATATTTTTCTTATCTTGTGTGCATCGCTTTTTGCATTCAGGGACATTGTGGATCATGCTGGTCGTTTGCAGCCACTGGTTCATTGGAAGGTCAACATTATAGAAAGACCGGGAAACTTGTGTCATTGTCGGAACAGAATCTTGTGGATTGTTCATCTAATTATGGTAAGTATTATAAGACTAATGAGATGTTATAGAATCGACTATGTAAAACTATCATCAAAAGAACAAAGCACAAGGATCGGAACAAGAACAGGGTACCACAGGGTCTTCAACAATGATTACAACATATAACGTAAAGTAAACTTTAAAAAGCTTAGGAATGACAAACTGTGAAGTATAAAAAAAAGAGATCACGAAGGACTGCAACATTAAACAATAAACGGTAAACAATTATGACAGACAGCAACCAACGACGAAAACTGGATGACACGCTCCTGATATAAGAAAGCACTTACTGAATGTGACATTTGTGTAAGCTCTCTCCTTCTTACCTATGCTTGGACTGTTGTGTAACGGTACGACTTGGATCAAACTGTAAACACCAGTTTGAATTACTTGACAATTAGATGGTTAGTTAATCCAAAATAAGTATATAAATACGATTTCCACATACATTAATAAATGACAGACGCCTTCCCTCAAATTGAGACATTGATTGATTGATTGAATGTTGGTTGCATAACATCCAGTGGCAAATATATCGGGACGATTTAGACTATCACTTGAACTGGGAGTATATTAGACAGGGGCAGAAAATATGCCTTGCAAAATGGTCACCTACGGATCCCGCAAAAAGTTGTTGTAAGGGTTTTAAATGTGCAAGGAGCGTGGCACTGACTTAAAACGATGCATCAGATTTAACGTCTACATTCAGACCATGTGACTGCGTACTTGTCCATCCCGCAAGGTCAAAGAGGCGCCCCACTTTGGCAAGGGTTTTACCGCCGGTCGGAAGATAACCAAGAGTGACCATATTTCCAATACCAGTCGCCCTTCAGTCGGCAATGATTTATTAGCACAACACAAGAGCAAAAATTAAAAAAAAATCAGATGCAATTTGCTTAACTTAATAGATCGATACGAGGCAACCCAAAAAATCATGAACATTAAATAAAGGCACTAAACACCGATATAGGAGCATTCGCCGTTACTGAATGCTAGTTCAGAGCCAATTGAAACTTATATATCAATCATGATTTCCAAATTTACAAAGTACTCATAAATGTACGAATATAGCAATACAAATTAGTTATGTTTTAGTTTTTTTTAAAAACGAAATCAATGTCAGTACAGCAAATACCACTATTTCAAGAATTTACTAAAAAAAAACTGTTAATTTTGTAACTTTTAAGAATACGTTTTTTCAAATGATCAATCAGTTTTCACGGATCGTTTCTAAATTTACCGGTTCAATAATCAAAATATAATATTTCCCACTGTACATTAAATCTCTCAACAGTCAACCAATCATTCAATTAATCACCTCTCTAAATTTTAAGATAGTAGAATTACCATATTTATAACCTAATAAATCGTATCTAAATAAACGGGGCTCAATTTTCAACTTTTTATATTTGCCGCTGGATTTTAAATCACTCCATCGGTCAATTAATCACTCTTTTTAAAGTTTAAAAAATAATAAATTGATTGTAATTATATAACATTTTCTATAAAGTTCCTGATTATGCATGTTCTAACTGTAGGTAACAAAGGGTGTCACGGCGGGTATGTGTCTAAAGCATATCAATACATTAAAGACAATGGAGGGATAGATACTGAATCCTCTTATCCTTATGAAGCTACGGTTAGTTGAGTAGGATACATTTAGTAAAATATCTATATTTAGAATACCCAAGATTGTTTACAAAGAACAAATCGTCTAGATATTATTCAGATGTTGAAAAAGTAGGTCGCCTGGTGTCACGGGATATTTTTTTTTAGTTCAGTTGTAGAGATTTAATAATCAATTCTTTAGTAAGGTTTATTACCGAGTTTGTACTAACTCTTATTGATTTAGGGCAATGGTCTCCCCTATTTAACAGGATACTATAGTATTCCTAAATAAAACATTATGTGATGTTAGTACAACCAAATAATTTTACAATTGTAGGATGACAAGTGTAGATTTAAGGAGAATGATGTTGGAGCTACAGCCACAGGATTTACCAATATTGAATCTGGAGATGAGAAGGCTCTTCAGTCTGCAGTAGCTACCGTTGGACCAATAGCTGTCGGGGTTGATGTAAAGCGGCCTTTTCAACTCTACAGATCAGGTATGATGCATATATCTATCATGTATTATTACACATATGAATTAATTAATTACTCATGCCTATATTTCTTGAACCAATGATGTATGTCTTTTAATTTAAGGCAGTTTGGTACGTCGTATCATTGTATAAACTTGTATATAATGCTTGTGGTACTTGTATGTCCTTTCATTATTATTTGAGATATTCTCGTATTCTTGTCTTTCGATTTTGCTGATGTGCTTTGTCTGTGTGCCTTTTTGGTGTTGTGCTTTATCTGTATGCCTTTTTGTGTTTCTTTGTTACATATATGACGTGGCTCTGTACTTATATATTCCGGCATTGTGTTATTGTACTATGGCAAATTTGTGTATTCTTGTCTTTAATTTTTGCTAATATGCTTGGTCTATATGCCATTCTGTGCTTCTTTGTTACATATTTTTTTTAATGATTAAGATTATAAAACAATGTTGACTGCTGTGTATTTGACATTTTTACCTATTATGTCTGTTTGTTTTGTTCACGCATCGTTTTCAATATAATGGAATTTGATGCGACTGTCATACAATTGAGAGGTTTAGCTAGCCATAAAACCAGGTTCAATCCACCATTTTCTACATACGAAAATGCCTGTACCAAGCCAGGAATATGACAGTTGTTATCCATTCGTTTGATGTGTATGAGCTTTTGATTTTGCCATTTGATTAGGGACTTTCCGTTTTTGTTCAGTGTTTTTGTGATTTTACTATTTTCTGTCTAACACAGTAATAATAATTCTTAGAACCGAAATAAAGAAGTGTCCGAAGCAAGACTTTTTTTTGTAAACTTCCATCAGGAAGTTCAACCGAAAAAATGAGCAAGCCAAGGATATGTAAATATACACAACAACAAAAGAACGCTTTTGTATGATTGATATGAGTCAAAATTTTGACACAACGTTTCAGCAGTCAAAACACTAAATTCTGTGAAAATAAGAATTTTCAAGCTTTTAATTTTTGACATTTCAAAATACTAAAACAATCTTGTAAAATTTGTTAAGAATATAGCTTTGTGTATCTTTTCACCTGAAAATAACAAGAATGACATGGATCTTCACTTTCTTAATCGATTTCATGTCTAATGTCCAAGTTGAAATTGACTTTTCTCAGACTTCGAATAACTGAATTTGTGTCTCCATTATTATATGAAATATTCTTTTATGATTTACCTCAAATAACTCGTTTCTAAAGATTTATAATAATTTTAGGTATATTCGACGATCCAACTTGTAGCTCTGTGACTTACAACCATGGTGTTTTAGTTGTTGGTTATGGGACGGAGAATGGTCAGGATTACTGGTTGGTGAAAAACAGGTACGCTATTGTTCTATTGTATTAACATAATTGTAGTCAGGTGTTTTATGGTGGTACATTAAAGTGCTATATTTCCTTATTAGTAAAATAGCAGTCTCCTCATATAGGGATAATCAAAATACGATAATAGCATCAGACGAATAAGACATATGAAATACATTAATTAATGTAATAAACTATAAATTATGAAACATTATTATCATATTATCATAGGATACAATAGCATAATACTCGCGCTAGCACGGTTTAACAAATCATTCTGTTTCATTGGTAAACATTAAAACAGGAATGCGGTATTATCAGCACATAGAAGACGTATATATACTCAAGAAGCATGTTATGCTATATATAATTCATATTGTTATGAAAATATTTCAAATTTAAATTTATCACAGAATTATTATAACGCTTTAACCCTGGTGTTATTTTTAGAAAATACTAACTGTCCATTTGCCTTTTTTCTTACAGTTGGAGTGCTTTCTGGGGAATGGATGGATACATCAAAATGTCAAGGAATAAAAACAACCAATGTGCAATAGCCACCGATGCACTCTACCCTCTTGTCTGAACTGATTTTACGTTTTAATTATTTACCTTTCATTATAATTTTTCATTTTTGTATTTATAGAATTATCGCATTGTGTTTATTTCATTTGTATGTATAGTAAATAAAACACCTTCACATATGTAAAGAGATACAATGTAACGAGATAATATTGTATTCCAGGGTAGAATTGTAACGATTATGTATTGATTTTTTTTTGTTGATGTTTTTCCATTATTTACAGTAACATAAATATGACATGCGATTTTTTTGTTTGTATACAAAATCAGACAAAACATGGCATTATACCAGTTACTATCATATTCATTCGCAGATATAAACATATCAATTGATTTGTATTAAAATGTCATGCTATTTGCGTCGTTTACAAATGTGCCTTCTAATACAAATTTAATTATTTAAATGCCAATTTCAAGACATCTTAACAAATTTAAGATAAATGAAATGAACTTTTCACTTGTATTTTAAACTTCGACCATACACTTTAACTAATGACGCAATCGAAAAATATCTTTGAATTCATATAAAATATTCCAAAAAATTTAAATCTCTACAAACAAAGTAACGTTTATTTTAAGTTATTTAATGTGGTTTTTGTTGCAATTTTAAGAAATGATTTTATAAAGAATACTGATATGTATTATGGAATTTATTACATTCAAGCTTCCATTCATTATAATGAATAGTTTCTTTGTTTGTCTTTAATGCTTGTTCATAAGAAAACTACAACCCGCAATATTATCAAAATTGTCTTTCCCTTTAAATGTTTACACGTACTGGAAAGTAATCCAATCTGAAAAGATTATCATTAGTTTCGTTCAAATCCATCTAATCAAAACGTGTTATTAAAGATATTGCAAGATTACCTTCATTTATTTTGCTTGTGGATTTTGTTCAATTTTAACCCCTTTATTCAGATACCTTAAAACAACTTTACATTAAATCATCAATTAACTCAGTTGTACACGTGAACCGAGCGGAAGATGCACATATTTATTATAATTATATTGTCGTCAGATACTGCAAACACTGTTCTCGTAGTGAAATAAAATGTTTGTTGTGTTTTTCTGACTTTCCGGCGGTTGTGATATACATAGGGAAAGCCTCGAATGGCAAGTGATTACTTTATATTTTCCCCCTTTCTATGAACTATTTTCATATTACCGACTTTTTACATCGGAATATATAATTCTCCAAAATGTTACCTCTTAAATGGTAGGACATCCTGATACTCAGTCAAAAAAGAACAGACAAATGAAGTAAATTCAAACTTATAATCGGTGTAATTAAGGGGGAAAGTTTGTTATTTTCTGATGATTTTTTCGTCTACAGAAAACACGCATCAGTAACACTTTCCCAAAAAATTGCTAGATTCGACTTCTTAAACTTGCTAACTTGACAGAGTCCAAGATTTCCTAACACTGATTAGGTAACCCGTCGAGAAAAAATAAACTCCGGAGTCAAAAGTCGGTTATATGAAATAGTCTATTTACGTCCTCTGAATTAAGCAACTGTTTTTTTTATTTTTTTACATTAATTTATCATTATTTACAAGTTGATTTACAAATACATGATGATTATGTCCATTTTCCTACTCCTGGTTTTAAGACACTGATTAGAGTTCTCGAGGTTATAGGCATGATCGTTATTACAACAACAGTTATTACTATCGATGAAAATGTAATACATTTAACAATAGTAGTTAGGTCTTTTACCCTCCTTGTCTCTTGAGATAATGAAAAATGTTTAAAATTATGTTACTCTACATTAGAAAATACTTGAGTATGGTTAGTTTCTATAAGGAAATGCAATTTGAATCAATAGACATTTGCGGAAACTGACATACACCTACGAAAAGGATTACAAATGCACATGTATATATTGGGTCGTCTGATTAACCATGACAGCAATTCTAATCCTGATGCAGACTCCACCAGATGCTATTTATTTCATTTGTCATCTGATTATAAACCAGTTAGTACCAGCTAGACACAAGCCATATCCATCGTCATCGTTTACAATCAGGGCAAGGATAATAGGCAATGATGTACTCTTTTGGAATTGGAGAGAAGTGTTCACCTATTTCGCATCACCCGGTATTCCTTCTTTAACGTTACCACTGAAACTCAGGAAATATTACTTCAAACCAATGTTGATGGTCTCTTCAGACAGAAAATCGGTAAAAACAAGTTCTTCTGTTTATGTCACGGTTACGATAACAACTGCTTTCTGCATATTTGACGTAAGTGTTTTGACTTTCAAAGATGAAATACATGTTAGACAAGAGAAGATGTGGTATTAGTGCCAATGAGACAACTCTCCATCCAAATCACTATTTGTGAAAGTAAACCATTGCAGGTCAAAGTATGGTCTTCAACACGTAGCCTTGGCTCACACCGAACAGCAAGCCATACAGGGCCCCAAAACTGACACACATGTATAACTATTTTCAAGGAAACATATAGCGGTCTTATTAATAAACCTTGTTTTGATTAAAGACATAACTTATAAAGTGGGTGGCAAATACCTCCTTTTTAAGTAAGGAATACTGACGGAATTTCGACAAAATGTATGAGCCGATAATAAGACTAAAGGCTAATTCAGGATAAAATCATTGTAAATGCATTTACACTCAAGTGAAATATTGGACAAGAACTATCTTCCTCGGCTGAGCTGTTTTTCCTGGGCGAAAAAATAATTCAGAAAAGACACTAGTAATGACTCCATAAATAAAGGCAATAGTTATATACAGCTATTCAATAGTCATTACTCGATTAATGAAAAAAAACAAACGAATCTGGGTAGCAAACACATAAACAAAGTTAACAATAGTATACCGCTGTTCAATAGTCATTAATCGATTACGGGAAAACAAATCCGGGTCACAAACGAAAACCGAGGAAAATCACCAGCTATAATAGGAAAACACTGAACTGCACAAAACAAACGCCAACATACATAGAAACGGACTATTCGATAACAACAAACAAGTTCTTGGCTTCTGTTGTGGCTTGATGCGCTGCATTTGTGTGTCGTCGAAATAAATTATTTACATCATTTGGTTTTACTAGGTAACTCTATAGTGTTTTTGAGGTCTTTGGTGATGTTTATTTTTCAACTTTGATGGTATGTCTACTTGTAACCAAGTTGTAGACCTAGTTTCCGCATATATTTATCGTACCTTTTAATTCTATTTATAAATTGTTTATTAATTGTTATTGAACGATATCAACTCTTTTATTTTTCACACTTTGAAATATTTAACAAAATTTGGTTAATCTGACCTCGATCTGAAACAAATTGAAGCGTTGCGAGGAATGCGATAGACGATTTATTGACTATACTGAGCACTGTATAACATATAAACCAGGTGTGTTTAATTGGAATTTGTATTCATTTTGAGTAGCAAAACGGACGGATAAAATCAGACGCAATCAAGGGCAAATATTTATAACAAAATTACCCAATTTACGTCAATTTGGTATTCCTTTACTGCCGTTTTATTTTCACAACAATTTGCATTGTTTCATTGTAACTTTTATTGTTGTAAACGACACCCTCTGTATGCATGAGTCATTTTAGTGAACATATATATATATATATATATTTACATATATGGCTGGTGCATTACGGCTAATATCAGATCTGTCCCGATGAAGCTAGCGTTTTACTTCATTTGCTTGTTTGATTTAGTGCCTTATCCAGTTTTGTATATGTTTTGTATAATAGTATATGAGTTCTCTTGTAAATATGAAGACTTTTGGTTGAATGCGTTTTTGATGATTTTAGACCCGAGGATAGATTGAACATTGTACGGTTCCATGATCTTATATAATCAACATACGACTAAATAACTTGCATTTAATTGTATTTCATTGGGTTTTTTTACTACATGCACTGACATATTGCGTTCAAAAATGAAAACGAGAATTGAAAACTAGAGATTATAATGTTCATGTGTCGTTCATCGTAGTATATGTGCATAATCAACAAACAACTCTCTCCTATATTGTGAACAAGAATATAATTAATGACAACAATATTTTTTTGTTGATCCTGTATTGCAGATCATTTTGTCTGTTTAGTTTCTCTCTATCTTCTTAAGTTTTTGCTGAAAACACAGAAGTAAACATCCTCATTTAAGGGCAGCCAGTCATACGAGGAATGACAGTCTACTAACTTTATCAGCAAAATTCGAATCTGTTGTTGATATTGGGTTGTTCATAATTGTTCATAATTTAAAGTTTTTTCTATCATACTTTTTATCTTTTAAGGCAAAACGCAAAAAACATTGGTAAAAAATCACCGTTAAAGGCCAATATCTCCAATAAAGAGTCGTTGTAAAATTTTCCCCATGGTGTCTTAATTGAGATAATTTCTTGTTGATAGTTTTTGTTGAATTAAGATTCTATCCATCTATTATAACTTTTAATATATGAGTCAAAAATGCATATAAAAACAATTGTAAAAATTGTCATCCAAGGGCAATAAATCTAATTATGAGTTGACTGGCGATTTATGCGTGGATCTTGTCTTGCTTATAATTTTTGCAACTTAAAATTTCTCTGTATCTATAATAATTTTGAGGATATAAAGGCACAAATAACACAATATTGGACATTTATCATCTTGGTCAGCTAGTGAGGTGATTGGACACCGTTTCGTTTTAACTAAATACCCCAATTATGATTATGGCTTAGCTTTGTAAAATTAGCTTCAGTAATTTTGTAAATGTTAACGACGACGACCGCCAAATGATGAGAAAAGCTTGTTTGGCCCTTTATGCCATATGAGCTAAAACTGAATAGCTAAACAGACTATACAGCAATTTATATATGACTCTTTTAAAAAGGACACATCAGAAGAAGAAAACATCGACAAACAGAGGGTATAGATAACCAGACTGAATTGATACAGCCGTAACCCCTTCGTGCATGTCAGACTTTATCACAGATTACAGAAGTTTCAACCTAGAACAGAACAACTTTAATAATATATATTTAGGTAAAACGCTTTTTTTTCTGCTTTTTTCGTGTTTCTTCAATAATTATATAATACAGTACTCACTGTATCTAAACTACCCCGGCAAAAAATGTTTGGACTCGATGGTATCTAATATCCAGCACGGTGACGGAACATCAAAAGACAGAGAAAAGATAGGTTTCTGTTTATTTATTTGTTATTTTTATGATATCGAAGAATAATTATACATATATAACTATTTTCTATTGTGAGATGTAATATTTTTTACAACCGTTCTAGATTAACGGAGAAATAAGTTAAAATGCACGTCAAAATCACGAATTGAGTGAACCTTGCCTCGAATTTGTTTAATTTCTCCTTAAATTGTTCACATTGTACGGAATGAAAGACACGAAAAGAAAGATATTGACAGGGAGATTGCAAAACTAGTCACTTTGAGCACCTCAATAGTTGTATATTTGTGTATGGAACGAAAGAAATGGGTCATGTCAAAATGGAAGGACCCGGTTTTGTCAATGTGTACAACCCGGTTTTGTCCTAGATTTCACAAGGCAGAACCCGGTTTTGTCAAACAAAAAACAATGCATAATCGCAGAACATAATTGAACTTCAGCATTTAAAAGGAATTTGGTGGCTCGTTGGAAAACGATTTCTTTC